GAGAGGAATGATGATACAGTGTGGCAGACACCTGAAATATAGCAATCTGACTCGTGGAAAATTGGACTCAGAGGATGCACTTGACATCCTGAAGCGAGATGGCAAGGACCGGAACATAGATGGAGAAGATCCCTCCTTGCATATGCACAATGGTAGGGGTATACAATTGGTAATGAGGAAGAAGAGAGTAGTTTTGAGTCTCTCTCTCTCTCTCTCTCTCTCTCTCTCTCTCTCTCTCTCTCTCTCTCTCTCTCTCTCTCTGTGTCTCTTTCTCTTCCTCTGATGTCGGAATGTGGGAAGTGGGAAATTCCAAGAGTATGGAGAGGAGAAATGGCCAGTCTCATCTCTCTCCCTTGTATGAGGACTTGTGAAACACCAGTCTTGTGTCTCTCTCTTGTATGAGGACGTGTGAAAAATGTTGTCGTCAGCTGCAGCAGATCTCCAAGCTATGGTACCAAGGTGAGTCACCGCGGTTGCAGCACTGCACTTTCGCCATCCTCCTTGCTTCAATATCTCTAACACTCTCGTTGCACTAACTGTCCAGCACTGCTCTCTTTTCGATTTGCAGGCTATTTACTGCGGTCCTGGACTGTTGGATCTTATCGGATCCGATGGTTCGGAAGAGTCGTAACAGACCTTGTCCAAAAACGGGCGGCCTGTGTCACAACCTGCCTAGGCCTGAGTAGAATCGACAAGGATGAAACCAAGCCTGACTAGAATTGACAAGGATGAAACCACGGACGAGGACTGTACCAGGCACTACAGGATAAGAAAAGGGTCCAGTCCTTATGCGGGTAAAATCTTCCAAGTTCCAAGGGCTCAAATGGCCAAACGTGTGGTCCACACCTACCACTGGTCTGAACAGGCACTTGTGCCTGTCTGAACAGGCGCTTGTGCCAGTTGGGCTAGCAAAATATTTTCATAGGGGAATGGGGCTTGTCCAGCGAAATCCGGAGAATGGTGCAACAAATGTTCCGGGTGGTTTGGCTTTGAAAACCGTCCTTTGTAATGCTCTTGCACAAACATCACAGAAACTTGGGACATCTGCATCTGTGCAGTTCTGCATGTCCCTAAACTGAAGAGGCAATCCTGTGTCCGGATTGAAGAATCCACGGATACCCAGAAAATCACCTGTATGTGAACACATTCGGGAAGGGACTTTTGCTGTTACTGAAAACGTTTATGGGAAAGAAAGTTGTTATGGGGAAGCAGTCTGGCACATGGATGGTATTGTTGAGGATGTGATGGGATTCAAGTGACTAATGGCAGGACTGGTCATGATGTCGTCATGATGTCGCTTGATAGAAACGTGGGGGATACATTGTGTCCAGCTCTGCACCACAAAGTGATGATGGACACCACCTGTTTCACAATCGAACTGGTGGCTTTAGTAGACATGTGTCTCAGTGCATGAAAGCAGTGGCAGCACTGAAGTCAGCAACCTGCCAATCACCCTCGGTCGATTGTATGCTAAGTTTAGCACCCTTTCCCTCACTCCTCACTGCGACATATGTATGTTTTTCACTTGTACACCAGCCAATGATTCATTCTAGACCATAATCGACAGCTGTATGCAGCAACTTTCTCAACATGTCGTCGATGTCCTTCAGTTTACCAGTCCTTTCCCTTTTTTGTCACCTTCTGATTTACTGCAAACGTCTTCTCATACGAGATACCACACCCATGATAGAATGCATGGTTTCCAAAACGGCCTTCATCATCCTGTTAAAACACTCGGCAATCTTTCCACAGATCGCATTCCTGCATTCACTGTTGGTCTCACAAATCGGCCTGCTTATCCTTATGCTTGAGCAGGACATGAACATCACGGATGGTTCCTTTTGCATGTGGAGGGGTCTGCATAAGAATGATGAATGACTCGTCACTCTACATTGCAAGAACTGATGGGGATGATCTGGTGAACAAAGTGGACAGAGAGTCCAGACATTGCTACCATTTTGAAAAAGAGATATGGTTCTGGTACCTGAGGTTTTCTGGGAAGTAAGTTGGAAAGGAGTAAATGCTATGCTTTCATGTTAATGCGGAGGTGATCTGGTCTGACAATAACCTGAGCTTCAAGACAATTCAGGTCTTGCACATCCAGAGAACAGGCGGAAAGACTCCTCAGCAACAAGAATTGTGATATGCACATTTTATCATTAATGCTTTACAAAGGTTTTTGGCGGGAAGAACTGACGTATGCAGTTTAATCGGTGCCTTACCAGTGTAATGTGGGGAAGGTGCTCAACCCTGTCCTTCGGATCTGGATGAACGAGTGAGCAAAGTTTGTCTGCACTGTCCGATGTGTACGGATCCTCAGGTACTCCATGGCTGCAAATTCAGTTGGTATGGAAGATGCATGGGAGCTTGAGGGCCACACCATGATCCATGTATGGTAGCGAGTATACGTGCTCCAGTTGTGAACAACCGTCAAGATACTGTCATGGCTGGAGTGATTGCGGGGAAATGGGCTGGTGATGATTATAGCAATTGAGGCTGGGTAACGGGTGCAACTCGCCTGTTCTGCTGTTTTCATTGCCACCACCAAGCTGGGTCAATGAATTCGTTCCTGGAATCAAGCAACCGTGCGGTGGACTCAAAAATGGTCAATGTGAGCGTCATGAAACTCACCCGGTAACTCTCTTTGATGGTGTTGATCATTGGGTACACAAAGTAAGTCCTTGCTACTGGTAGGGAGAAGCAAGAAGATGTGGACGATGCGGTAGTGGCGCTGGTGGTGTCTGCAAAGAGGGTGCCTTGTAGAGTGTAGCAAACCAGGTGCTGGACTTGTCCCTGAGCATAAAGTGTTGCCGTAAGCTCTCATCCAATTGCAATGTGTGATGGACCATCGCACATAAGCTGGAACAGTGAGAGAGGGCATCTAAGAACCGGTTGGGAGCGCCTAGAACTGCTTCGTCCCTACACTATTAAAAACGCTAAGGTAACCAATCTGTGATCCAGGCTGTCGTCGGGCCTACTGGCCTGCAGTCTGGATCGTCGGAAACATGTAATAAATCTGAAATCCGGGCCATCGGGTCCTAGTGGATCGACAGCCGGGATCGGCGTGCGGTCTTAAGATCTTAAGATCATGTGCCAATCCAGGCCGTTGGCCCAGTACATCGGCCCGGACGGCCTAGATCAGAAGTTTATGTTGAGGGTACCCCATTTGCCCGTTGCATGACATTGGCCGACGTACCTACCTGCCCAGCATTTTTCTTTTCCTAGCCTACCTATCTACCGTACCACAGCCGTAGCTCTACCCTACCGGTTGCGTGGGCCTGCCTACCTACCCGACCTAGCTACGGTACCGCAGCGCTACCGTAGCTCTACCCTACCATGAGCCTGCCTACGTGACGTACCTACCTGCCGTGCGTGACCTACTTTGCCTACCCGACCTAACCACTGTAGCTATAGCCTGGCGTGAGCATAGTGCTACCGGAGCTCTCTCTCTCTCCCTCTCTCTCTCTCTCTCTCTCTGTGTGTGTGTGTGTGTGTGTGTGTGTGTGTGTGTGTGTGTGTGTGTTTGTGTGCTCTACGTGACCCAGTGCTATGTGCTATGTGCCTTGGAACGACTTCCCCGTGCGTAGTTCTTTGGTGCTACGTGGTTTATGAGTTGAGCTGCGTGTGTGTTTTGTGCCATGTGAGTTGGTTTCCTCTGTGCTTCGCTGTTTGGTGCTACGTGGTTTATGGGTTGAGCCACGTGTGAGTGCTTTGTGCTACGTGAGTTGGTGAGACAAATTGCTGCATGGTGCCGGGTGTTCGTGGCCCACAAACCCGAGCTCCCTCCCATCTCAGCTCTGTCCAAACCTCCTTTGCTTTCAGCCCCATCCTCGTCTTCTCTCTCTCCCCTCCCTCTCTGTCTATGTGGGGCGTGAACCGGTGCTTCTCCGTGCTTCGTGCTTGGGTGCTACATGGTTTATGGGTTGACCTACGTGTGAGGAGCTTTATGCTACGTGAGTTGGTGCGACGGATTGGTGCAACATGCAATGTGCTCGAAGTTGGACCAGTTGAAATCCCATACCACGTTTTGAATGTGGTCTTGTAGTGATTTTGTAGGTGAATCTGGATTTGGTGACTTCGGAGGGTATTGTGTGCAACCCAAACTCTCACGTAAGTCGTTGATGGGAGGCAGAGGGCCAACATTCTTTATCGGTACTGCATTGAGGTTACGGTAATCGATGTATAGGCTCCAGTCTTTTTTCTCCTTCGGGATGAAGAGAACAGGGGAACAGTAGGGCGAACTGCTCGGGGTAATCCAACCCTTGGCAAGGTGTTCAGTGGTGTGCGAAGCAGGTTGGGATCATCTTTGCTCATGCGGCAAACAATCCGTGTGGAGGAATGACACTATCCTCGAGAACGATCTCGTGGTGAATGTGCCGATCTGGTAAGATGGAGGAATGACACTATCCTCAAGAATAATATCGCGGTGAATGTGCCAATCTGGTAAGATTCCGATGGGGGCCACAAAGACATCCCTGTAGGCACCATGAAGCCCGGCGAGCGTGCATCCAACGAAAGGTTGGGCGACAAAGTGTCCGAGAGGGGAAGGCGGTGAAGAAAACACATGCATAGCGGTGGATCAATGAAAGGTGAAGATGGATGAGTACGCGATGTCGGCAAGTCTAGCACGACTTGCAATACTTGGGGACATCCTGGAACAATCGGAGCCAGTGAGATTGCTTCCAGATTCAGGCATGGTACACTCCGAGATGGCCAACAAGGTGAGCGTCCTGGAACTCACGAAGGAAGCATATTCGGGGTAGTACTAGTTTTTGCCGAAGGTGTGCCTTATGTGAGCAATTCGACGACGGTTGTTAATTGAGTGGTCCTTGTGCTGCATCCAACTCAAGGCTAAGATACGTCGAACTGGGTGCACAACACGTGAAAGGAGATTGCCACGCATGCGTGCGGTGCGGCATACACGGGAAGAGAGTCGATGCAATGGTCAAGGGGCTTTTGCATGTGGCCACTGGGAAATGGCTGTTCCAGAGGTTGCGACTTGCGTCAAACTCGTAGCCATAAGCTGGCTCGAGTCAGGAAGTTTTGGCCAATATATAGTCGCGAGGCGGGCCGCTATTGGTCAAGGCACTGCAGGTTGTATTAGTTATGAACGCAGATGTACAACAATGGTGCGTCGATGTGGACCGACTATTGTGTCTTAAACGCGCTGTCAATTCTTGCCAACATCACAGCTATCCTGTAAAAGAAGAAAATGTCAGGCTTTTCCCTACGGAGTGGAGTGCTGTAAGGCATTGCTACAATGGTGCGTCGATGTGGACCGACTGTTGTGTCTCAAACTCGCTGTCAATTCTTGCCAACCTCATAGCTATCCTGTACGAGAAGCAAATGTCAGGCTTTTCCCTACGGAGCGGAGTGCTGTAAGGCATCGCTCTGTCAGTCTGTGGCTGACTCCATGATTGTCGTATATGATCGATCTCATATCCTTGAATTTGGAGTATGTCTTTTGCGAAATATGTTAGTTTTTGTACTAGGGTACTGGAGCTTTTGTGATGCCAGCCTGCCAGGCTCATACACACAGCACAGAATTATGTGGTTGTGCCTGTATTGTTGGGTTCCTGGAAGTCTTATATTCAGGTGACCAAGTATGTGTTTGTCTTGGTGGCACAGGGCTGAGAGAGACAGTGCTATTGCAGAAGGAAATGCAAAGGCGGCATTGTGTGAAGAGGAGCGTGCTGAGCACGTGAAGCAGGTGGAGGAGTTAAAGGAGCAGATCAATGAGAAAGACCGGCAGCTGGAGGCTGCAAAGGAGCAGGTGTGTGTGTTAAATCTGGAAGTCGTTTTTCCCACTGATGAAAATTGCTCGGAATGATCAGTTGTGGCTTTTGCCTGCAAAGAATGAAAATAAAAACAGATGGATATCTGAAGGGGACGTGGAGAGTCTCTCTCCCCCCCCCCCCCTGCCCCTCCCCCCGTCTTCACATGCTGCGTGCTTGGTTGCGGCAGCACCGTTCAATGATGAGTTACATTGTAAGCTCAGGTGGATAGAGCAACAATCGTTTAAGTAGAGATTTACAGACAGGTTCAGCATTAAGTCATTTGGAGCTGAGGTGACACATCAAATGTGTTCCCCCTGCGTGCCCCTTTTCTCTCCTTCTCTCTTATGCATGTGGAACAGAGACAGGAAGAGAAAGCTATCGGGAATTGGGGACCCCTGACACATGGAATATATCGCGCTCCCTTTCCCCCAACCCCGCTGGTCTATCTGTGCCCCTCTCTCAGAGGGAGTTTCAATTCTTCTACAGCGCCCCGGACCTCTTTGCTCTCTCTCTTTTCACCCTCTGACACCTCTCCTTTTCTGGTCACACAGACTCTCATGAATGCATGTTTAATAGAACTGTATTTTGAAAATGATTCATTTGGATCTGTTGAAGTCTTTCATGGAGTTCATCAGTCTCTGGTTTTGTCCGTTTGAAGAGTTTTTGCTCTTGTGACGACTTCCTGCCGAGTCTTGGACGGGGACAGCCCGTGTTGAATTTGGCTTTGAGGGTTGAAGAGACAAATCAGTCAGGTTTGCATCATAAAAGATTTGTGTTAGTTAGAGGGGGGAGAGTTATTCGACGAGTAGATTTCATTTTTGTTCCAGGCCCGAACTTCATTGCTCTCTCTGGGGTGTGTGTGCGTGTTGTGTGCTGTGTGTGTGTGTGTGGTGTGTGTGTGTGTGTGTGTGTGTTGTGTGTGTGTGTGTGTGTGTGTGTGAGAGAGAGAGAGAGAGAGAGAGAGAGAGAGAGAGAGAGGCTGTGGAAGGAACCGAGAAAGACCTGGGAATTTTTAGTATTTACAAATATGTCCCTGTGGGGACTAGGCGTGAGTAGACATGGGCAAGGGCCCAAAAGTTAACGAAAGTACTTTAATGCCCTAGTATTGTTACAGCTCGCTGGGAAACTGCAAGTTCATTGCAGTCCTACTCTCCCAGGGGCCCGATGACCCTGAGCTAGGAGTGCCCACGAGGTGAACGCCTGGGTGGTTGTCTCTTTTATGCAGCCTCATTGGACAAGACAATGGACTTTGCAGGCTCGAGAAGTTCCTTGTAAACCATCTGTCTTCAGAGTGTGCTTGGAAATCGAACTTCACAAGATACTCTCAGTTGGGGGCTGTACCCCATTGGTCCTCAATGCTCTCAAGTTCATACCCCTTCCAAGGAATGGGAGGGCCGAATTGAGGAGGCCTGTCCGGAAAAGCATCGGTTGGCGTGAAAGGAAGCAGTTTGGATGCGTGGAAGACTGGATAGGTCTTCAGATGTGCGGGTAAGGCCAGCACATAAGTGTGGGCCGAATGGATCAACACCTACTGTGTCTAGAACTTGCCATGGGCCATAGTAGATACGCAACGACTTCGTAGACATATGCCGTTCATCGGACAACTCAGATCTCTTGTCCCAAACACAAGGCCCTGGACGATTTGGAGAAGGTAAGCGATGCCTGTTAGCCTGTTCAGTTATCCTCTTCTGCGACTTGAACATGTTAGTCCTTGCCTTCTTTAAATCTCGTTCGTAATACCTGCCAAATTCTGTTGTACCAGGAGTTAGTCTGGGCCTTGCCTTATCGATGATCCCATTGAGAGGCTGTCTAGGGTCTCTACCCCAGTGGAGTCCGTAGGGAGTGAATCCAGTAGTGCTGTGAATAAATGTGCTGTACATTAGTTCTTCCATGGACAACAGAGGGCGCAAATGCATCTTTTTCTCCTACCCATATCCAACCCAGCCCATGCCTTGATGTACCATGTCTAGGCCGACCCACGTAAATACAATTTGTTCCTACCCGTACCCAGCCCACCCAGCATCTACAATGCTAGTCTTCCCCGAATACAACGTACGGCCATTACAATGTACGGTCATTAAAGCTGTATCTAGACTGAAAGATGCCTCAAATACAGCTATAATGACTGTGCAATGTATTCGAGGGAAGACTGTAGCCATATCCCTTCCCAGCCACGTCCAGGCCAAAATTTCATCCACCCAGCTCCAGCCGCATCCGGACCCAATTTCATCCACCTGTGCGCCGCCTTACCCGTGCCCAATTTTTTTCCAACCAGCATACCCTTTGCAAGGAAAATGAGCAATAGCGAGATGACAGATTCCAGAATGCACAATCACATTGAAAGCCAGAAAGTTTCACACTGTCTAGAAAGCAGAATTGCACCAATATTACACCAGTGAAGAACCGAAACACTGAATCCGAGTGTCGATGAGACCTTACCCTCGTCATCACCCACATACTTATTCAGAGCCCATCCCGCTACTTGGCACTCAGTGCGCAGATTACTAACACAGCTACTTCCTCCCTATGAAAAGACAATGCAACTGTTGACGTCAGCAGCCACCGAAGTACATGAAGATGTCGCCCCTTGCAGACTATTGTCAAGACCAGGTATGTGCCCTCACATCATCATCCTCATCTCTTCCTCTCTCTCTCACCCTTGTCTATCACCCACGTCTTCTCCCTCATGCACGAAGACCACCACTACCGCCTTGCTGTGTACCCAAGCCCTGCCGGCTATGGAAGCCGAGCTATGGCACTGCCCACAGCAGTGCCCTTGCTTACACGACAGCACGTGCGCGGACACCTTGCACAGCGCAGCGCACAGCACGCAAGCACACACTTAAGCAGCGCTGCCGCACCAGTGGCAAGTGCCCCAAAATAACTCGCCAGGCAGCAACCTCTTTCCTATATTGAAAAAGTCTGGCCTGTGAGCTGCCTGGCTGCGCTGGGCCTGTGCCCAGAAGCTTCCGGTAGGCCCCGGGTAGCTGGGCCTCTGCTGCTGCTGCCCTGGGCCCCATGTGGTTACACCTCCCAACTGCTTGTCGTGTATACTGCTGCAGATGCGGCCCAGGGCCTCCTTCGAAGAAACGCCTAGAAGGTCAAAACAAAGTGTGGCTGGCTGTGGCCTGGGTTCCTTCAACCAACTGACGCGACGCAACTGCCTGAACCCCAAATGCGAAATTGACAAGAATGGGCCTCTCGATTTTATCAGGCCCGCGTTCACTTAGGACGGGCATACTTTCGCAATTGTTGCCCCTAAGGCCTGCCGAGGAGCCTGATCCTCGCACCTTGCTTTTTCCCATCATTTCAAACATAGGCCTTTGGATGTCGGATTCTTCACCTTTAATCTGCAGATTGCCGCATTCACCACAGCCTTAGTAGCCATTTAATGAAGAATTCATATACTTCAAGGCAAAAAAAAAGAAAAGGTAAGCATGTCAAACATTTTAGTAAGATGCGAAGGCGAATCAGCAGACTGTTTTCTTAATGGATCTGACTGCAATCATGCCGTGAGCTTATTACCAAATGTCCTAGTGTGAGTATGCTTTAAGACAATGGCAGGCCGCCCTGATCAATGGGCATATGGGTCTCGCTCCACTACTGTCCACTGTACAAAAATGGACAGTTCGACTTCGCTCCACTTACTGTCCACTGTCCATGTGCGAAAACTTGGACAGTTGTCAGAAATCGCGTGGAACGTCGACTGTCCATTTTTGTACAGCTCCCAGCCTGCACAAGTCGTTTCCTGGACGGTCCTCCTGGGAATCCACGGACCCTCCACCGTTTCGGACAGTGAGCCTGGAGTCTGAGCGGACAAGTGTGCAAGTTTTGGAGTTTTGCACTGTCCCGGCCATTCCAACTTTTGTACAGTGCTTCGTGGCAATGGTATTCCGGGACACTGCTCGGATGTCCGCCCAGCTCTGTGGACACATTACTCGGTATACCGCGAGCCTTGCGATGACGAAATCGAAATGCCATTCCGATTTGGCAGAGGCCAGATCACTTTCAGGATTCCCGCCAAAAAAAAATTGGGACCCGCATGTCCCACGACGCTTCTGGCTTGGACAGCGGCGTCATCGCTCCACTACTGTCCACTCTACGTGTGAGTTTTCGAGAAGATCTGCTCAGTTGTATAGTGGACAGTAAGTGGAGCGATGTCGCATTTTCCACTGTCCGCTGTACAATATTTCGCTCTGACAACTGTCCACCAACTGTCTGAAAAATTGTACAGTGGACAGTAGTGGAGCGAGACCCTATGTGACAGGGCTGAGGCAGAGCAGCGAGGTCGAGGAAGAGAGAGGGAGGGAATGAGAGTACACACACACACACACACACACTCAACTCGACACGGACTCGACACGGACTCGACACGGACTCGACACGGACACAAAGTGACAACGTCGTGAAGTTGCAATCTTGGTTCCGTACACAATGTCACTGCAAGTCACACTGAAGCACAAGCACTGAGGCCAAAAACTGAGTCCCCGCACTCAGCTTGAGTCTGGTCTTAGGTACCGGACTCGAGTTGAGTCCGAGGGCAAAAGTGCAATTTGCCTCGGGGCTGAACTGAAAATCGAAGGTCTGAGCCTGGCCGCCAGAATGCTGGATGGTGCCAAGTACGAAATCCGAAAGTGGCGGAGGCGGGATTTGAGAACGGGTGCCAACTGTAGAGGGCGCCAACAGTCAGAAACCGGAGATCAGAAAGTCCAAAAAAAATAGAAAAGCAGCCTGGCGGGTGGTACCCCGTGGACCAGGGATCGAGCACTGGGTGGGTCCGTAACACTATTCCCTGCCTCTGGAAGGCAACGTCCCCAAAGACCCAATGAACAATTGAGAAGGACGGGACGGGGCCGATCACTGGTTAGAAAAGGAAAGGGGGAGTACTGCAAGTAGCAGGGTAATCCTATGGCGGTCCTACACGGATGAGGGAATCAATGTTCAAGTAGCAGGGTAATCCTATTGAGGTTCTATTGATGAGGGAATCAATGTTCAA